CTTTAACCCTCTTTACTGATGTGCAGCAGAGTAAGATGTCACTTTCTTTCACCATGATATGCTGTGTCCCCCAGAAAACCACAGTTTCGTGTTTTTGCCAGCCATTCGTGGAAAATTCATTCCCTGCTCTGGCAAATGGTCAAGGGCATTACTGCCCTGAGAAAAGAAGAACTATTTCCAGACTAACTAAATGGTCTTGGAACTTCCTTCCCATGCATTGCTAACTTAATACTGCTGGCCAGCCTGGAAGTGTTCCGCTCATGTATTTACAACTTTGGAGCTGTTCAAACACATGCTGACTTTTATTTTTTCCATCACCCAGTGCTTTCTTCCAATTTGTGAGTTTTCCATATCAGTTCCTTTGCTATTTTTAAGCAGAACAATTCCAAGCCAAAGAAGCTAATCAGTACAGTAGAACCTCACCATTCAAGCAGGGAGCTTGAACTCTTCCAGGGAAGGAGGGAAAGCAGCAACAGGATGAGCTGAAGGCCTGCTTCTTCTCTCACATGAAAGCATGGTGTTGTATACTCTGTTGAGTTCTATTACACTAATATTAAGAACACATTTTATCAAATCCAAGATGCCATGGATTATAAGAGGCATCATACTTGTGTACCAATAAGAACAGAAAATTAAAATAACAAAAACCTACCTCCAGTTAAACTTTCCTGAAACATCTTTAATGATGTTCTTGCAATGTGGGAACCAGTCACACCAGCCTCTTGTGGTTGTGAAATCCATTCAGAGGAATTTGGCAGCTTCTTCTGCCCTCACTTGCATTGCTTGGCATGTAATTGGCAATCCTTTTGAAAAATTCCAAAGACACTTTACATTGACTTAAAAAAACAAAACAACAACATGGTTGCCTTCAAGTTGGTTCCAACCCAAAGCAACCCCATGGGTTTCAGAGCAGAACTGTGCTCCATAGGGTTTTCAGTGTCTGTGACCATTTAGAAGTAGATCTTTCTTTGGAGGTGCTTCTACATAGATTTGAACCACCAACCTTTTGGTTAGCAGCCAAGTGCTTAATAGTTTGTGCCACCCAGGGACTCCTTCATTGCCTTGCATGAAGTCCTTCAAACTTCCCATAAAGCATTTTCTTTTTCTTTTGCAAGAAAATATGGAATTGCAGTTCTTCTTCTAATAATGAATTTTGCTTCATCAGTATTGAATTGACACTCTGCTGTTCTGTTTTAGAGATTTTCCATACATAGTAATGTGTTCATTTCAATGCTAAATCATAGTGTAATCTTTTCTAAAATATCTAAATGGCAATTAAACTCTGTAGTTTAGTACCAAGAGTATAAGCCATTCAATGGAAGTGACAAGATGGATATCTATCAACATGTCTACCAGGTGCAGGCAATTGCCTCTGTGTCAAGACTGCTGCCTATGACACCATCAATCACACATGCATCCTGATCTCAGAGATGTAAAAATGTGACAGAGCAGGCATCTTAGAATCAATGAGTTACAGGAATACCTACAATTTATTGAGAATTTACTATATACCTGGCAAGATACTGAATTCTTGGTAAGCTTAATGTCAATCACACCTCACAGCAACCCAGAAGTAGATAGAGATTAGGAAGTTGAGCCATTGTTAATAAATTGCCAAAATCACACAGCTAGGTGAGTTTCAGGGCAAGGATTCTGATTCAGACAATAGAGCCCTATTGTTATTGTTGTTGTTGTTGTTATGTGCTATTGAGTTGGACCCGACTCATAGCAACCCCTCCTTGGGTTTCCGAGGCAGTATCACTATGGAAGTAGATTGCCCCATCTTCCTTCCAAAGAAAGCAACCTACTATTTTGCCTATTCTGCAATTCTGCAAAGGAGCTCTTATGGCGAATGGGTAAGGCGTTTTTGGCTGCTAACCAGAAGGTTGGTGGTTCAAATCCACCAGCTGCTCCAGGGGAGGATGGTAGGGTAATCTACTTCCATAAAGATTTACAGCCTTGGAAACCCAGTGTGGGTCACTATGAGTTGGAACCAACTCAATGGCAGTGGGTTTGGGTGGGTGATTCTGAAGGTAATATAAATCATGTGAGTATATCACCTGTAGACTGTCCTTGCATTCAGTTTACTTTCAAGAGCATGAAACATCACTCCACATAGGCTTGTTGTTGTTAGTTGTCATTGAGTCTCTCCCAATTCATGGTGACCCCATGTGTACAGAGTAGAACTGCTCTGTAGAGTATGCAAGACTGTGAGTCTTTCAGAAGCAGATCACCTGCCCTGTCTTCCAGGGCACCTATGTGTAGGTTCAAAGCACCAGTCTTTCACCTGGTAATTTAGCATTGAACCCTTTGTGGCACCAAGGGAATGCCCAAAAGGGCTATCAAAGTGTTATTTAAAATAACTATATATGACTTTTTGTAAAGAATGGATAAAAATCATTAATAATTAGCATATCCATTATATGCAAATTGCCAGACATTAAAGGGGCTCAATAGAAATTATTTCTACCCTCACAACAAGTATGGAAGCTGGCGTGGCTGCCTGTTGCTGTTTCTTCACTACAGTGTGATGAGAGAGTCAAATCATCACTATTTCCTGCCACAACTCTACCTGAGAGCTGAAATGACTTGCCAATACCAAGCAGAAGTATGATCATGGCAAAATATGACCTTAGATCATCTCAGACATGGTCTCCTGACCCTTGAGCCTGCTCTTTCTCCACTTCTGTCTATTGCACTGATGACTTGCTTCTCACCAAGTTGTTTGTTTTTGTTTTTAACTGAGGTGAATGAATAAAACCAGCACCAGTTGCCATTCAGTTTATTTCAACTCATGACAAGTGCATGTGCACCACAATAGAACCATACTCCACAGGGTTTTCAATGGCTGATTTCTTAGAAGTACATCACCAGGCTTTTCTTCCAAGATGCCACTGGGTGGACTCTAACTTCCAACCTTTAGGTTAGCAGCTGAGAATGTAAAGCATTTCCACCACTCATAGACTCCAGTATGAATGAATAGAGACAAGGACCTTTTTGTTAAAGACTATAAAGCCATTTTAGTCTTCCAATGTTAGAATGAGTGAAATTTTTCAGTGAATGGAGTCCCCATTCCCCCTGGTCCTGGCCACTCACAGGGACAAAGAAGGCCCTTTCTGACCAAGCCAGTGGTAGAGAATGGAAGCCTGTCTCTAGAGGAAACAATGGTGAGCAAACTCCTGTGGCTTTAGGGCAATGGTGATTCTGCTTCCAGGAACGGTTAAATACAGAATCAGAGAGCAACTCTGTACTTGTGTTCAATGCTGTGGGTGATCTCAGTTGGGAGCTAACCCCAAAAGAAATCAGTGAGTGTTTGGTTTGTGTACAGGGCTATCATGGTCAAAATAAACACCAGCAAGGAATTACCAAGTCCAAACAGTTCAAGATCACCAGCCTCAAATCCTATTCATGTAGACACCACTACAAATTTCATAAATTTGCACTCTAATGGCCATTGCAGAGAGTCCTTTAAAGGCATGAAATAAACATCTTTTAAAATTATTTTCTCAATTCATTAATTCATTTGTTTGGCAACTATACATTGAGTTACCTACATGTGAAAAATGAGGGAGAACTACATGTGTAAGTAAATCAAGTGGTCTCAAGTCTAGCAAATATTTATCTTTTTTCTAATTCTATTTTAATAGTAATTCATTTTTATTGGGTTTTATGAAAGTATCCTTTCATACCAGGCTGGAAGTTCTCTCCTTCAGTGTAGTTTGAGTAGCACTGCAATAAGAAACTATAGAAGGGACAGCATGCTGCCTATCTTTCCACATGCATGTATCTGTGTAGCAGACATGGAACTTTGCTTAAGCATTGGGCTGCTAACGGAAAGAGTGCCAGGTCAAACCACAGGGGAAAAAAAGACATGTGATCTGCCCTCATAAAGATTAACCCAAAAACCCAAACCCACTGCCATCAAGTCAATTCCAGTGGGTCTCCAAGGCAACCCTCCTTGGGTTTCCAAGGCGATAAATCTTTATGGAAGTAGATTGCCTCATCTTCTTTCCACAGAGCAGCTGGTGGGTTTGAACCACCAACCTTCTGATTAGCCAGCAAATGTCTTAGGTACTTTGCCACCAGAGCTCCTTCTCATAGAGATTATTCAATAAACTTCAAACAGTTTCTATTATTGGCTTAATATGATTTTTTAAAAAAACTGTAATCTTTATGAAAAGATTTTTTTGTGTTTGTTTTTAATCATATTAAGCCAATAATAGAAATTGTTTGAAGTTTATTGAACATACAATTTGCAAATTGGGCTAATATTTCAACTAGAGTGTCAGAAATGTTCTACATATAAGAACTTCCAAAATTCTTATCTCAGATCTTATCAGCATTGCCATGGAAAAAGGTGAGAACAAAATTGATAAAGTTTGGTCAGGTAGGATTTTCAAAGAGCATTGCATTGAAGAACAATTAATTCCTGATTTACCCTAAACACAGCTCTCTGGCTGGCCTTTGGAGTCTGTTACCCAAAACTAACTGAATTTTTCAAAAGAGTACAGGGCAGGTTATAGAAACAGTCACTAAAGACATGACATATATATGCTAAAACAGCCTCTAGTCAGATCCTGGAGTTCCTGCTTCTCTAAGCTGGTTGCAGGTAAATAATTTTGTAAAAGAACCTCATGCCTGAAGGCAAATGTTTCCACTAAGCTGCTTACTAAGCTATTGTTTGACCTGAAGGGGACTCCAGAGAACCAATTTTTTCAAGGCTCAAAGGGACACCTAAGGGGAGTGGCCTATGTGAGTGAGTTACTCCATCTTCCATGAAAGCCAGAGATCTGGATTCCAGGAGAATCTAAACTCTTTCATCACAGCCAAGAAAACCCTATCAGGTAATTCTGTTATCACTTGGTGTCTTGCTGAGTCAAAAATCAACTGGACAGGACCTAACAACAACAATAGCAAACATGTATTTGAAGTGTGGTCCTGACTAAATAATGGCAGCAAACCTGAAGCCTGTTCTAACCTCCCCACTGGTTTTGTTACAGCTGTAAAGGTGCCTCCCACTATGGCCTGACCAAAGACAGGAAGAGGCGTTCACAAGATGGCGGGTCAGACGGCTGTGCTAGCCTCACAGCAATGCCACTCTCCCCAGAGGTTTCCGCAGCTGCCACCGTCTCCTTAATGACGGATGAGCCAGGCCTAGACAACCCTGCCTATATGTCCACAGCAGAGGAGGGCCAGCCAGCAAACAGCCCATTGGATACTGGCCGGAACAACCGAACTAGGAGTGAGTCAAATGGGTGGTTATACGGGAAAAGGCTCCTTGCCTTGGGGTTGCCCTCTGTGGAATATTCACTGGAAATTTCTAGAAATGTTTTTTAAGGGGAAATAATTCTGTTAGCTTTGGCAGCAACCCAATGTCCAATCCTCCAAAGTGAAATAAAACCACGAGTACCTCAGATTATTAAAACTGTATGTAATCTGACTTGGTGAAAGGAGTTGAAACTAGACCTAATGATTCATCAGTCCTACAGTGTCAGTTCCTTCCTATCTGTGCTGCTCAAGAAAAATGAAAAGTGCTATTATATTCAGTCCAGCCAAAAAGAAAAAAGAGCACAGTTCATTGTAGAAAACTCAGAAAATACAAGTAAGCAAATTCTATAATTCTAATACCTAGAGCTAATCCTGTTCATGTTTTATTGTATAGTGTGTATTAGAGTCTCTGGACGGTGCAAATGGTTAAGCACTGGACTGCTAACTGAAAAGTTCCCACCACCCGGTGGCACAAAGGCTGGCAACCTGCTTCTGAAAGACCACAGCCATGGAAACCTTATGCAAAATAGTTCTGCTCTGAAACCCATGGGGTCTTTATGGGTTGGAATCAACTTGAAAGCAACTTTGTTTTTTTTAAATGTTGTGTTGTTGTTTGCCGTTGAGTCAGACCCAAGTCATAGCAACCCCTCCTCGGGTTTCCGAGGCCGTATCACACAGAAGTAGATTGCCCAACCTTCCTTCTGAGGAGTGGCTGGTGGGTTTGAACCGCCAGCCTTCTGGTTAGCAGTCAAGTGCCTTAGAGATTATGCTACCAGAGCTCCCTTTTTTAAAATATATATATATATATGTTTTCAAATGTGTACATACAAAGTGATTTCTACTAACACATAGCTGTTGTTACTCTCTTCCGTCTTTTCTTCAGCACGGCCCTTTGAGCGATCTACTATCAGAAGCAGATCTTTTAAGAAAATAAATCGGGCTTTGAGTGTCCTTCGGAGGACAAAGAGCGGAAGTGCAGTTGCCAACCAAGCTGACCAGGGAAGGGAAAATTCTGAGAATACCACTGCCCCTGAAGGTAGGTGAGCTCACCTGCAATGGCAGGGCTTCCAGAGTGACTTCAGTGGTGGTGACAACCTGACCACCACCTCACCTTCTATGACACCTGTCTTCCCAAGGATATAGAACATGTTTTAACTTGATGAACGTACTCACACATAAGGAACTAAAGGTAGAAATTTTATTCCTTTTTACATAGATGGAAGGGAAAAGGAATTGGAACCCTAACCACTAGGTGCTACCTTAAGGTATACAAGGAATAATAAATTTTAAAAAAACACTGCCATCAAGTTGATTCCAATTCATAGCAACCCTATAGGACAGAGTAGAACTGCCTTATAGGGTTTCTAAAGCTGTAATCTTTACGGAAGTAGACTGCTACATCTTTCTCCTGTGGAGCAGCTGGTGGTTTCAAACTGCCAACCTTTTGGTTAGCAGACAAGTGCTTTACCCATGGTGCCAGCAAGACTCCTATAAGGAATAATAATTGTAGTTAATGAGTTGAAAGCACTAGAATGTTACTTGGTATGTTGTATATGCTAGATAAGTATTTACTGTTATGACAATGCACAAGGTGTGTTTCTGAGTATATTACCAATATTAACTCATTTAATTTTTACAACAATCCTGTAAAATTGCTACTGTTATTATCCCCATTTTACAGATGAGGAAACTGAGGCACAGAAGGTGTACTTAGCTAGCTTCACATTACCTTACTAAAGCTTGAATCCAGGTAACTTAGCTCTAGAATCCATGCAGGGAACTTCGTTGGATCTTAGATTCTCTTGCTTTCCCTGGTATAAATGGAGCTGAGGAAATACTGTCTCATGTCTTTCCTTTTATACCTAGAAGAGGAGTAATAAAAATAGCTAACAAAGATGGAGTTCTTCATGTGTGTCAGGAAGAGCATACTATATGTAAAGCACTGGTGTAGGCACTGTAACTTTGTAAAGATTACAAAATCTGGTTCCCAGCTTCAACTTGCTGTAGTCCAAGTTCTCCAAGAAATAGAACTTCATATACATACATACATATGTACACATTTAGACATTTCTAAGTTATTTGAATGTCACAATAATGCTAAGGGATAGATATCATCATTACCACTTTACAAATTAGGAAACAGTCCCACATCTCCCAGCTAGAAAGTAGCAAAACTAGGATTCTCAGACCATCTGGCCCCAGACTCCACTCTCTTAACCACAGGTCACACTGCTCTCTACTCCTGGGGCTTGCAGTATATTTTCTGGTAGCGTATTGCCAAAGGCACTTGACTGCTAACCAGAAGACTGATGGTTCAAACCCACCAGCCACTCCTTGGAAGGAAGGTTGGGCAATCTACTTCCATAGTGATACTGCCTCAGAAACCCAGGAAGGGGTTGCTATGAATCAGGGCTGACTCGATGGCACATAACAACAACAACATCTATATTTGTATATATAACATATTATATGTATTATGTGCACTATATTATATATGTTACTGCTGTTGTTGTCGTGGTTATGTGCCATTAAGTCAGCTCCAACTCATAGCAACCCTGTATACAACAGAGCAAAACACTCCCCAGTCCCATGCCAACCTCACAATACCTGAGCCCATTGTTGCAGCCACCATGTCAATCTATCTCCTTGAGGGCCTTCCCCTCTCTCGTTGACCCTCCACTTTACCAAGTATGATAACCTTCTCCATGGAATGGTCCCTTCTGACAACATGACCAAAGTAGGAGACAAGTATATATATAATATTATATATATTATATAATATATTATGTATATGTTATTGTATAACATAATGTATAATATATGCATAAGATATATCTATTGTCTATATTTTCATGCCTTCTGTGAACTCATGAGCAGTCATATAAGACTCCTCCTTGCTTACTTACATCACCTCTCACTCTGTGTCCACACACACACACATGCATACACACACACCCCACATGCACACATACAGACGCTGCATGTTCTAATTATATTGACCTAATTACAATCCCCGTAAATACTATATCAGAGTCCCTGCACTAGGCAGTTAAAATCGGTTAGGAGGGAGGTTAACGGAGGGGTGGCAGAGAGAGAGGGAAAATCAGCAGCTTTTGATGATTATTTCCAAGCCTTTCTTTGCTCAAACTGATTATTTAAAAAAAAATTTCCATTCCCTTTCACCAGATACATTCCACCAAATATTTGTGGTATTGTCTACCTGATGTAATCAAAGTAGTTTAAACATTAATTGAACTCAAATCACCCAAGTACTGTTAGCACCAGGAACTGACAGATTAAGACAACTGCCCACAACCCCACAGCAAAACCAATCGCTTAAATTAAATTAAATCCTAAGGGCTGCTAAAGAACCACTTCTCAGGCTTCCTCTGACCACTAAATTATTTTGTTTATCATGTTCTACAATAATTAGAAATAGGTTTAACTCTTTCTGTACTGTTCTTAGAGAGTTAAATACTCATTAGTTCATTAGAGAAAATGGACTAAGGTCATAGGTTTTGAAAATAGTCACAGAGAGTGGATTATACAGAACCAGGCCTTTGTTTTGATCTCTCCAGATCACTTAATTCAGGGAGAATCTTAGGGCGAAGGCAACAGTCAGCAACTGTCGAGGCAGCTCTGCCCTCCACATCCAAACTCAAGCCTCAAGCAAATCAGAAGAGCCTCTTCTCCCTGAACTGGATCCCAATGCTTGCTGGTGTCCCTTCTGAATACTTGTACTCAAACTGAAGTGGACAAACGGTGTCAGTCAGTGCTGCTGGCTGATTAGTCTTCTTCCATTCAAGTTCCCTATGCGATTCTTGTCTGGCTGTGAACACTGAGCTCCAGGGAGACCTGAGGGAGGCAGTGAGAGGGCTGGCCCCCTACATTCTGACCCAGCTCTGAGGGCCACCTAATTTTGTGAGTTCCAGCCAATCACTTCACTTCCCTTGTCTGACCTTAACTGTTCTCCCTTGTCAAGTAATGTGTTCTGGTTACTTAGTGTCACTCTGACAGGAATATACCACCAATGGGGTGGCCTTAACAAACAGGAGTTTATTCTTACAATTTGGAGGCTTTAAGTCCAAGTTCAAAGTGCCAGGCTCTAAGAGCTGGATGAAAGCCCCTCAACCTTGGGGTCCAGCTCTGCCTCCTGCTCCCAGCCCACTGGAGCTAGAGGCATTTCTTCACTCAGACAGCTGCTGGCTGCTGAGGCTGAGAAGCCCCAAGGTTGCTGACAAGGAAAAAGGCACAGTCCCGATGTTACCAAACCACACAGCAGGCCATTAACTTAAGTCCATTGTAAGTCCCAAGGTTGGCAGAGCATAGCAGGCTGCTGAGCAATGACACAGCTACATGCAGGGTCCAAGCATGCCATAGGCTAAAGACTATACCCAAAGGCTTCTCCTTATACACAGGAAGCAGACCACATACCCAAAGGCAGCTACACAGTTGCTTGTGGTAGATCCCACCGTGGAGTTGATTGCCAGTCTCATCATGGGGAATAACTACCACCAGCTGCCCAGCTACTCAGCCAGGCCCAGCCAAGTTGACACAAACCGAACTACCACATACTGATTTGACTATCACTGGCTTTCAAACACAACTAAAGCATCTTCCGGGTATGGTCAAAAGGGTGGGGGGGCATGTTAAAGATTTCATTGGGAAATAGAATTCCTCAGACTGATAAACTCCAGCCTAGATGATGTCTTGGAGTCCCCGGGTGGTGTAAACAGTTAATGCACTCAGCTGCCAGTCCAAAGGCTGGGGGTTATGTCCACACAGGGGCACCTCAGAAGAAAGCCCTGGTGATCTACTTCCAAAAAATCAGCCACTGAAAACCCTGTGGAGCACAGTTCTACTCTGACACACATGGGGTTGCCATGAGTTGGACGGAATTGATTCTACGGCAACTGGTTAGAGGATCTTCTACTCTCCTTTTAGCTCTGCATTCAGTGATTCAGGGAGATCAGGAACAGCCTCCCTAAGCCACCAACTAGGCCTTGGCTGGGGCTTCTTTTCTTGATTATGAAATTTCCCTTCATTAATACAAGATCTGATAGAGTGGACTGATGATTCCCTAAGCCTGAAAAGCAGGATCTTCAGGGGAGAAATATCCAAACGATGTGAGGGGCAGAAGAGCAGATTTGTTCTGTTCTAGTCTTAAACAGACAGGTGATAAAATTACTGTTCATTCCATAACAACAGATCACTCATTCGTTCACTCACTTCTGTTCACTCAGTAAACATCAGCTGAAGGCTCCTGTGCACAGAATAGCCACAAATTATGCATTCAGGGATTTTAGAATCATTGTGGAATAGCCACAAATTATGTGTTCAAGGATTTTAGACTCTAAAGAGAGGTATAAGAAATTGACACAAAGAATAATAATAGAAGGTTGGCTAAGTGTCATGAGACATAGAGGGAAAGCTTCATGAGAAGTGTGGTGTTTGGAGGGAGCAAGGGATCAGGTAGAGTTTAATTGGAAGGGATCATTTCACTCAGGCCTTGAAGGAAAAACTGGGTTTAAGCCTAGGATGAAAAACATTCCAAGCAGAGAAACATATGCTGGCACAGAGGCCAGGAAATAGAAACTGTGGATGAAAGTTTAATTTGGCTAAAACCAAAGTTTGAAGAAAAGAAATGGCTGGAAATGTACATTGGGTTGGTGTCCTAAATACATACTGTGTTTGTCCATTTCAGTCTTTCCAAGGTTGTATCACCTGATTCCAGATGGTGAAATTACCTGCATTAAGATCAATCGAGTGGATCCCAGTGAAAGCCTCTCCATTAGGCTTGTGGGAGGCAGTGAAACCCCGCTGGTCCATATCATTATCCAGCATATTTATCGTGATGGCGTGATTGCCAGAGATGGCCGATTACTGCCAGGAGACATCATCCTAAAGGTAGAGACCAAAGCTATAGGACTGTGATAAGGGGCTTAATGTAAAAAGCCTTCAAAACAAATGATTTTATGAATGAATGAATAAGGGAAAATACTAAGTAAATGTGGAGTAGTCACCTGCCATGTTAATTTGACTCTTCATATGAGATTTATAATTTAACTGAGCCAGGTCTTTTTCTGTCTTTCTCACTGTTCTACTACCTCACCCGCTGCCTGCCTCATATATAGATATTTTCCTCTGTCTCTGATTTATTTTTTCTGTCTTTTCCTTCTCCTTCTCCCCTTCTAGCTCACCCCATTGCCTCCCCCTTCCCTTGTTCCATCTCCTCTTTCTTCTCTTCTTTCCTTCATTCTACCCTTTCTCCCCCTGTAAGCAGCAATAATATAAAATAATATAAAACTGGAGCATATATTTCTTTTTTTGTCACATTATTATTTTTAGAGTAGATGAATGCAACGTTTTATATTTTATCTAATCACTCACATTCACACACCCTCAAAAGGAGATTTCCTGGAATTTAGTGGTCCTAGATTTAAAAAAAGTAATCCCTAAATTATTCCTACTAACCCATAGACATTCCAGGGGATACAGGTGCTGGAATAGAATGTCTTGGACATTACTATCCTCCAAGATTTGGTTGAGGGGAAGGACTTTAAGGAGGAATTTTCAGAAGAAGAGAATGGATAAAAGAGGAGTTGTTTATCAGGCAGAAGTAAAACGTGTGCCAAAAGTGACAAGCAATCCCTCCCCAGTCATATATTTCCATCTGATACGCAGACAACAGTCTCATCCAATCCCCCCTGGGCTGCGAAGGGGCCAGCTCCTGTCTCCCCATGAGCTCTTTCTTTGGCAAACTGATTGGAATAAGAGGAGAAAGAATTTACGGCAGTAATCACAGAAATGCTGAAATTCCCACTGGTCTTCAAGATGAAGTACAAGGCAGGGGCCCTCAACTCAGGTGGCAGGCAGCCTGCAGTCAGTGATACTCTTACATGGTTTCCTCCCAATTCTAGTGGAGGCTGTGCTGCCTGGGAGGGTTGCATAATAAAACATTCTGGTTATTATGGCCTTCAACTGGTGTTTGGAGGCAAAAGCGCTGCCAGGATTCCTTAGCAGGCAACCCTGAGCTTCTCTCGGCCTGAATGTGATGCCAGGGGGCTCTGCTCACCTGTGCTTGGACGAAAGAGGTGGGTCTTGTCTTTGCACAGGCTAGTCTCAGTGTCAGATTACCCAATAAACGAGGTAAGCAGGGGCTTACGGGTGCTCACTTACTAATCTGTAGTGAACAGTTTCACATGGCTTTCACATGCGAAACTGTTCATTCACATGTGAAACTGTTCATTACAGATTAGTAAGTGAGCACCCGTAAGCCCCTGCTTACCTCGCTTATTGGGTAATCCACCCCTGGGAAGCCTCCATCCTTCCCTGGAGATGAACAAGAAAACTGCTGATTCTACACCCAAGAATCACCTCATTCCAAGTCTCCTCTAACAACTGGCTACAAGTACAAGAAATCTTACCAAACTGTAGAAATCCAAGAAGGTCGTTTCCCTTCTGTGGGGCCTCTCTCCCCAAGTACACTGCGTGCAGAGCCTCTATGAAACGGTTTTCCTCCAAAGTGGTGACTAACGTTGGGGCTAGAGCCTCTGGCTGGGCCTGCTTAGCTGGAGTAATTAAAACCAGAAAGGCGATGGGCCTCAGATCTGCAGGTTATTATTATGGAACAAATGAGAGAGGCTGGGCTGAAGGCTATTTTCAATAGCATTACAAAGGGATCCAGTCTTCGATAAAAGCCAAAAACTTTCATTCATGTCAGTTTGCTTGAAACTGTGCATGGATATTGCTTCTTGAGAAAATATGTGCAAAAGGCTTTGTAGACAACCACCTTGAGACCCTATACACACACATATACACACATATACACTCACACACATACACACACATACACAAACAACATATACATATATACATACGCTCATATGCATACACATACACCATGTACACACTACATATACACTCTCACAGGCACACATGTACAACACAAACATATACTCACTCTCACATCCACACACACATACATACATTTTCACATGCACAAACACACATATATACACTGTCACATGCACACACACACACACCACACATACATACATATACATATACACACGCTCACACACACATACTCTTCTACACATACTTTCTCAGTGGTGGTAACTGGAAGTTCCAGTATGGATGAGCTAGGGGGAACAATTTAGTTGGCAATTTCTAGAAAGAAAATGCAGCTCAGTTTCATCTGAACAATAGTTTAATTATTTAACTGAACTGAATGGGAAAATGTCTTCTTTTCTTAAGCTTTTCTTACTTTGCCTTTTTTTATTCCCCCCTCAGCTGAAAAATAAGTTTGGCAGGCAACAGAAATGAAGGTCAGATAATTTTGTAGGTATCTACAGAACTACTCTATAGATAATTTTGTGAACTTGTGTAAGAACAAGGTTGAGGAAAGATCGTTTCCTCTTGAGAGTCCTGAAAAAGTGGTAGAGGTCACATCAAATAAAAAGGATTAAAAGGAATGTTGGAGATGGGGAATTTTGGACACAAGATAAGGTGATAGAGAAGAGCAATCTTTGAAAGAAGAGAGTGTGGGTTCTTCTGTGAGCCAGGGCCTTTCAGGAGGGGTTGTAGCAGATGGAACGAATTACGCAATTGCTCCAGATTTTGAAGTACACTGTCCTCCAGGTCAACGGGATGGATATCAGCAATGTACCTCACAGCTACGCCCTTCGCCTTCTGCGGCAGCCCTGCCAGGTGCTACGGCTCACAGTGCTGCGGGAGCAAAAATTCCGAAGCAGGAACAACGGACTGGCAATGGACTCCTATGGCTCCCAGGATGACAGTTTCCATGTGATTCTCAATAAACGCAGCCCTGAGGAGCAGCTTGGAATAAAACTGGTGCGCAAAGTGGATGAGCCAGGTGTATTCATTTTCAATGTACTTGATGGTGGTGTGGCAGACAGACACGGTCAGCTGGAGGAGAATGATCGTGTGTTAGCCATCAACGGACACGACCTTCGATATGGCAGCCCAGAAAGCGCGGCTCATCTCATTCAGGTTGGTCACAGATCATTCTTAGGTCCCAGTCAGAAACTCCCAGCATGAGCTGAAATGCTCACCACCCTGACGTACCCACCCCATTACTTCCACACCTTAGCCCCCTTTCTAAGAGTCAAGATGGAAGGGCCAGCATTTTCAGAGCTTCTGCCCAGGTAAGAATATTGCTCAAGAAAATGATATGTCTTATGGTCATGGACATTTTCTAGGTATTGTCAGCCATCCAGTCTGACTATAGGTAAATGCATTGGGTTATGTGCTACAACCTAACAAAATTAAGGTCACTCAAGATCAGCAGAGTTGTATAATCTCACTACCAAGAAGGTAGACCCAGACACAGGGATCATGAAGATACGTTCTGGTCATATCCAAGACATCCAATAGTCCTAACTCCCATGAGAAGCTGTGCTTTGCTCCCTCCTGGGATCCTATAGACTGAGACCCCTATAGGATTGACTAAGGCTGAGACCCTGCTTTCTATAGCTCAGTTCAGGACCCTTCAAAAATTCATGGAAACTCTAGTATGAACCTAATGGGAACTCTACTAATAAGAGAGGCATACATATAAATTATTAATCACTTAGACACAATTGCTTGACATTGGACTAATTTCTTTCCTAACCAGCTTGGTGTCACCAAGGCCCAAAATACATCTTAATGACTTTGGGTTACCACATTTTTAATGTTTACGGAGCTTCCAGCTTTATTCTTATAGGGAAGGACTTCATTCTGGGCTCCTGGATTCTAACTCATTCATTCACTTTATTTAGGAAACACATATTAAGTTTCTGCTGCATGCCTGACCCTGGATTAGGTACAGAGAACAGAGAGGTGACAGCCATTTTGGTTGTTCTCCCAAAGAGCCCACAATCTAAAAGGAGACATGGCCTTGTGTTATAGTGTTATAGCACTAAAATGGAGGTATCCAGTACAGTGCTGGTTCAGAGAAAAGGAGAGATTTTTGCTTGGATGGGCCTAGGAATGCTTCACAGAGGAGGAAGAACTTTAACTGGGGCTTTGAGAAATCAATAGAAGTTCTCTAGATAGACATGGCAGGGAAAATCATTCTAAAGAGATAGAACATAAAGACACAAAGGCCTGTTAGGAGAACAGTTACTATTTGGTGCATGTGGTAAATGTAAAAAAGTAGTAAGAGATAAGGCAGGAGTGGAGGTTAAGGGCCAGGCTATGCAGAGTATTGTGAGCCATGCTAAGGAGCTCAAACTTTAATCCCAAGGCCATGAAATGTCATTGGAAGGATTTAGGAAAGGAATTGACATGATCTTCTAGAAGATCTCTCTGGAGGCAATGTTGTTGTGTTGTTGTTATGTGCCATTGAGTTGGACGTGACTCATAGTGATCCCTCCTTGGATTTCCGAGGCAGTATCACTACGGAAGTAGATTGCCCCATCTTCCTTCCAAGGAGTTAGCCACTGGTGGGTTTGAACTGCCAGCCTTCTGGTTAGCAGTCAAGTGTCTTTAGGCACTATGCTACCAGAGCTCCTCTGGAAGCAATAGAGAGCTGATAAGAGAGAGTCAAGATTAGAGACCATGTGGTCAGAGGCAGTCCCAATTATCCAGGCTCACATTGTCAGCTTTCATTTAGTGACTGAAGTATTAATACTTTAAGAGTAGACAGTGGGAACTATACATTTGAAAAATGGCAAATGTTGTGTTATATTTTTCAATAATATAAAATACTTGAATCAAAAAAAAAAGAAGAAGAAGAAGAATAGAGAGTTTAGTCAGCAGCATTGACTGAACCCCATACCAAGTTCGATAGGCAAGCAGAAGATAGAGCTTGTCCTCAAGGACTTGATCATCCAAATACAAATAAGTCTTCCTACCCTTGGGTTCTGACCCTGGAGTTCTTTCAGGTGTTGGCAACTCTTTTCATCTTAATGCTTAGTATCTTACCGCTTCTTAGAGGATGACCAAGAGGTGGATAATATTATTGTCATTTTAGATATGGGCATTCTGAGGGTGCAAGGGAACTTGGTCCATCAAGAAGGAAACACATATGGTGTTTTGACTCTTAAATTATGGCTTTTGGTGGTATCCCAATTAATTCCAAAGTAATGGGTGGAGGAGGTGGAGAATATAACCAGAATTACCAAAGACATTTCCCTTTGGGAGTTTATGCCATCTATTCCCAAATTCATACGCCCAGCCCCAACTTTTCTGAATACCACATTTGTATAGCCTACTTAGTATCCTAGGAGCTCTGGTAGTGTAGTGCCTAAGGCACTTGACTGCTAACCAGAAGGCTGGAGGTTCAAATCCACCAGCCACTCCTCGGAAGGAAGGTTGGACAATCTAATTCCATAGTGATAATGCCTCAGAAACCCAAGGAAGGGTTGCTATGAGTTGGGTCTGACTCCATGGCACATAACAACAACAACAACAACTTAGTATCCTCATGTGGATGTCTAAAAGACATCTTAATGTCCAAAATGAACCTTTGGCTTCTCCCCATTCCACCCTTTGACAAGTTGGCTCTTCCTTAAGTCTTTCGCAGTCTCTAGAAATTCTAAAAATGGCATCACATTTTACCCAGTTACTTGAGCCAAAAAGAATCTTGACTTTCTTCAGCACCCCTTTCTCCTGTCCATTTTTCACCACTTCCATGGGGTCCTTCAACCAGATCACCATCTTCTTTGGTCTGGGCTACTACAAGGGCCACTGACCTCCTTGCTTCCACTCCATCCTGAACCTTCTGTTATCCACGTAGCAGTGAGAGTAACCACTTTACAAGGTCATACTCTTGCTCTTAGCCCCCCGATGTTTCCCAAGGCTAAAATTCCCAATCCTTACTATGGGCTTCAGAACTGTCCCTAATCTGGCCTTCTGTTATTTCTCTATCTATGCTTCTTAAGCAAAAAAGAGAATTTCTAGTATTTTCTTCCTTGCTCAGGTACATTGCCTTCTTGATATTCAAGTATTGAAATACTTCAAGCACACAACCACAATAGGGCCAACATTTTTGCTGTCCTTCTGCCTGGAAGAATCTTTTCCCAAATACCTGCACTACTCATTCCCACATTTCATTCAGATCTCTTGTCAAATGTCTCCTCCTTGGAGAGGACTTCTCTGACTACCCTACATAAAATCACACCCCACCCCAACACATACACACTATATTGTCTATTCTGCTTGCAGTCTGGTCTAGGCTAGTATGGTACAGTGTTGTCTCTTCAGCACTAAGCACAATACCTAGCAATAGTAGGCACTCCATAAACAGCTGCTGACTGAATAAACAGAGTCAGATTGTTTAAATGTAAGTATTTACAAGATAAATGTAAAAAATATATTTCACACATTAATTCCTTCTCTTAAGGATTTGTAGTTAACTCATTTGGCAAAGAACAAGCACCAAATTTATTTTTACATCCTATTTGTGGGTCAATCTACTTCTGTAGTGATACCACCTCAGAAACCCAAGGAAGGGTTTCTATGAGTTGGATCTGACTCGATGGCAGTGAGTTTAGTTTATTTGTTCCCAAATGTGCTCTGGTGGCACAGTGGCTAAAGAATTTGGCTGCTAACTAAAAGGTCAGAGGTATGAACCCACCCAGCCACTCCATGGGAGAAAAGGCAGTCTGCTTCCATAAAGATGTGTGCGAACAGAAAATAGACCAGGTTTATGAGAACACTGGAGTCCTTGGGTGATACAAACCCCTTGAGTTACACACCCAGCAGCTAACTCAAAGGTTGGAGGTTTGAATCCACCCAAAGATACCTCAGAAGACAGGCCTGGCAATCTACTTCCAAAAAATTAACCATTGGAAACCCCATGGAGCACATTTCTATACTGCTACACAGGGGGCCTCCATGAATTGGAGTCAACTTGGTGGTCACTGGTATTTTTACGAAAACATTAACACGTGGAAAATGAAGAGTCTTTTTCTTTTCTTCATGAAGAAACTGTCCTCTTAGCCTATTTTTCCTCTTTCAAAACCCAGATTTTAGATGCTTATTAGGATATGTGTGTGTGTGTATATGTGTGTGTTATACTTTTTTCCCTCTGCAGGTGAGTCATTGTAACTCACATTCTAGAGATAATCCATACCAAGTATACTTCACAACAGGCCAGAAAAACCCTCTTTTACTCATTTCAGTTGGTTAAATCTTGATTACATATGCCATGTTCTTTTTGTAGATGAATAACAGAAGGGGAGGAAAATTTCCCTGAGAAACTTTATGAAATAAAATCTTGCTTAACAGTGAGATTTTCTAAGATTCTTTTGCTTACTAAACAAAGTCAATGTGCTTTATAAGCAGGAAAACATTTAAAAAGGCAAAAAAAAAAAAAATAGGACACAGCTAGTTGCAAAAGAAATGGAAGAAATAAAATGCTGGAAAAAATGCAGCTAAGCAAGCTCTTGCTGTTGCTCAAGAGTGGATTTTCTTTATGTGATACTAGTAACACACACCAGCCTGGGGGATTCGACTAAACACCCTTCAAAGGGTGAGACTCAAATTTCCAAGCAATCCTTGGCTGTGTTGCCTTGGTGTGTGTACTCCATGAATCACATTTTCTTTACCAAAAAATTCCCAGACAACATGTTCTGTTGGTCATGTTTTCTCCCACAGTACCACGCATTCTGCTTTTTCTATGTGATTTCAGGGAAGAGTTATTACAGAGAAGCCACAGATGTTTTCAATTTGACCAGCTTTACACATGTTGGGCCCTAACCCAGCTTACTCAGCAGCAGCCCTGGGGTTGCCAGACCCCACTGTTGGACCTACTGAGAGTCAGTATCTCTGAGAAGAAAAACTCTAAAGAGACAGAAGCATCAAATACAATATGGGCAATTCACTTATTTAGCAACTTGAGTTTAGCAGTGAGTTGGCTCTGATTCGTGGTGACCCCTTGTGCAACAGAATGAAATGTGACCTGGTCCTGCATTATCTTCATGATCGCCGGCATGTGTGAATCTATTGTTGCAGCCACTGTGTGTTTTAACTAGGGGACTCATCTTCTAGCACTAGATTGCACA